CCTGAACGGAGCATCTGGCACCAACAAGAGTAACAGCGGGCGAAGTGTCCGACCATCAAAGGTAATCTTCACAACCCAAAGGGGCAGACTGGGACGGCCACGAGGGGGTCGAGTGAACGTCTACCTGGAGAACAGAATGGCCTAGTGCCTCGAGGATATGTTTAATATCCTCGTGGCAGTACTTTAGGTTCCTAATACCAGTCGCAACATGGTGTGGTAGGAGAACAGTGGCAACACTACATTTAATCGAGCGTTCTAGGAGAACCAAACAGGGGTCTCCCAATGCAGAACAAAGCGGCCAAGCGGGTGGCTGCATCTTGAGGAGCAGCGACACATGCCAAGATGGGTGGGGCTAAAAAATAACAGAGGTAATTACCGAATCAACAAGATGCCTATGGAGGGAGAAATCCTCAGGAGGAGAAGAATCCAACTGATGGAAGTCAAAGTACTTATTGTATGTAGCAGGATCAAGCAAGGCGTGGTACGAATTAGTATGGGAAAAACGTGCGAGAGCGGCCGTGGCGGGGACAACGATGAGAACCCCTAGCGAGGTGTCATAAGGCGCAGTAGTCACCGAGAGATGGAGCCGTGCTAAGGGACGAGACTGTCACCATAGGGAGCTATGGCTTGGAGCTCAACCCTACCATAGAAGAGGAAAAGGGGTGGGGGAGAAGGAAGAATAATTCAGTCTGAGCCCTATTAAGCAGGGGCTACAGAGCCTGGTCTTCCACCACAGTGACCTGGTCGCCCACCCCTTTAGCCTGGTTAAGAGAAGTCATGTCGTCAGCCATGCATTAGTCACGATACGTTTGGGGCCTGAACCCAAGGGATATCACCTACCAAGTCAGGGAGGTGGAGCGAGGGCCAGTGCAGGAAAGGGGCGTCGTCCCAAGCAGTGCTCCCCTTTTCAAAATGGAAGTCCTACTCCATCGTTCATTCTCCCACATTGGTGCCAAGACCCCATTGGTGCCAAGACCCCATTCCCCCCTATCGCCCCAGCCTTGAACCCCAACCATCCACTCAGGACGGCCCCTCACGGGCGACCCCCTCCAGCGAGTGGTTCGATGGCTCACAAGGCCCCTACGGTACGACTTCCTGCATGTACACCACCCAAAGAGGGGCAGGAGAGGAGGCCAAAGGCAAACCTCACATGTCCCTAGTACGCAAGCCTCTCACTACGACGAGGCGACATCACGGAGGGATCTACAACCACAAGTGTGAAATGAAAATTTCTATGGCACTATCACATTAGCATATAATAAAGTATCCAGGACTATTCTCCAAAAGATGTTTAGTGAAAACTATTACAAGTAGTCCAAGTTCCTAAAAAATTTTACAAGTATGTTTATTACCATTTATAAAATTATTAAATGAACTTTAGAAAAAAACGCTTCTTGCAGACTGTAGAGAAACTACACAAGGTAAGTTTCATGTAAATTGAATAAAAGAGGGAAGTAAATGTTACGTTTATATTACTTTAATAGAAATTAAAAAAAGAAGTCTAAGGTGCTGCCATCCGTGGCCGGGGTTGATAACTAATTTCCTTCAAAATTGGCATCCTTACAGATAGGTTTACGTGCAGTCAGGTGTACAAGTTTCATGCAAATCATTCGATAAACAAAATATTAAAGTTTTTTGGATACAACTAAATATATTTATTATATGCTATTTTGACAGCCGATAGTAAAGATTTCAGTCGACACTTTTTTGATGATAATTTTTTAACATTTCGGCAAGTTGTTGACACTAGTAAATATTGTTTCTCCCCATTTATGCTACGATGCCGATACTGACCAAATTAAGCCCTTTACATAAACTAGTTGAAAAATTTTGAAATCTAACTAGTTTTCAGTTATTGCATATTTGAAGATTATGTCCGCTTAAACCAAACTATTGCATGGGTTAATATGCAATTACTACATTAAAGGCAACTTGCCTTTCACCATAAAAATCTAATGTATTCTGAAACAAATTTAAGTAGTTTAACTTAAGCTTATCGGACAAGGCGTTGTTGGTTCCGTAACATAGTAAATTACCCTTTTAGTTTGAAGAGCTACCCAACAGCTTCCCTTCACGTTCTTCATGGACACTTTGGTAAAAGGTGCAAAGTCTACTATAAACATTATGCTTAAATATATTTCGAAGTTCATTAATAAAGTCAAATGTGTATCTACATTTATATATTATTTGGGGGCACTCACTTCTACCGTTCAGGCATAATCCTATGTTGGTGGGCTTGGTATATACGTTGGTGCTTAAAGAGGTTCCTGTTTTTGTTATTAGTACATCCAAGAATGGCAGACTTATTTTCACTATTTTCATGTGTAAATCGGAGTACTGACTCTAGGCGTCTTTTTAGGTCAATTAGTTCATCCGAGTCTTTTACTATTACGAATAACGGCAGTATACAGTTGGTTTTTGTCTGCTACTGAAGACCCTATCTTCGATGGTTCCCATATAAAAATTAGCAAATAAAACTCCTAAGGGGGAGCCCATTGCTACTCCGTCTATTTGTAAATACATGTCTCCTTGTGGACTGATGAAAGGGGCTTCCTTTGTACATGCTTCGAGAAGACTTTTCAAGTGTGGCTCAGGTATGTCTAATTTGGGGGTGCTCTCCTTGCTAAATCCCTTTTTTACCAACGTCCCAGTCGACACAAACCATAGGAATGATACTGGACAGAGTATACAGAGACGAGAGCACCCCCCAAATTAGACATACCTGAGCCACACTTGAAAAGTCTTCTCGAAGCATGTACAAAGGAAGCCCCTTTCATCAGTCCACAAGGAGACATGTATTTACAAATAGACGGAGTAGCAATGGGCTCCCCCTTAGGAGTTTTATTTGCTAATTTTTATATGGGAACCATCGAAGATAGGGTCTTCAGTAGCAGACAAAAACCAACTGTATACTGCCGTTATGTAGATGACATATTCGTAATAGTAAAAGACTCAGATGAACTAATTGACCTAAAAAGACACCTAGTCAGTACTACGATTTACACATGAAAATAGTGAAAATAACAGTCTGCCATTCTTGGATGTACTAATAACAAAAACAGGAAACTCTTTAAGCACCAACGTATATACCAAGCCCACCAACATAGGATTATGCCTGAACGGTAGAAGTGAGTGCCCCCAAAGATACAAAGCTAGTGTTCTCAATGCTTATATTCGTCGAGCGCTTACCCACTGCTCTGAATGGAGCAACGTGAGTAGAGAGTTTGAAAGAGTAACTCTGGTATTGGTGAACAACGGATATAGCAACGAGGAAATAAACGCTGCTATAAGAAAACACTTGGACCGTTGGTATAATTCAGAACCCAGAACAGAAACCACAACACCCCCAATAAAATTATATTACAAATCAACCATGCACAGTGAACATATAAAAGAGGAAAGAATAATGAAAGAAATAATCCGTAAAGGAGTAAAAAGCACTACTCCTAACCAAAACATAAACCTGATAATATTCTACAAAACCAAGAAGACTTCCGAACTCCTTATCAAAAACAGCCCGAAGCCGACGGAGAACCCTCTACAGCAGTCAAGCGTTGTATACATGTACACTTGCCCCCACGAAGGATGTAACCTTCAATGTAAGTACATAGGTATGACGTCGACCAAGCTGACGAGGCGTTTGACATGCCATCTTCAATCTGGTGCCCCTAGGAATCACATGAGACAAGCCCATGACATTACTCTAACAAGAGAAATGTTGAACAAGAATACTTGCATAATAGACAAAACCCAAGATTCAAGAAGATTACAAATTCTTGAGGCAATTCACATAAGAATAGAGCGACCTACCATGAACACCCAAATCACGGAACTATTTACTCTACCCACCATGAGAGTAAGGACAAGACAAGAACATATCGATGCCAACACAGAAGACAATGTCCAACATAACAGGCCAATTACACTGGATTAATCTTTGTGTTTAGATAGGAGATGCCTCGTATGGGCCAATAAGCCTTCTGCAGCCCCTATGTTTATCCCTATGTATCCCCCCATGTTTTCACCTTCATTGTATTATCACCTGACCTAATGCGGGTATAAAATCAACTAGTATTGTAAGATCTGTTCACTTGAGAATGAACCATGGTGGTTCGAAACGTCGTGCAAATTATACAAATAAGTGTAATACACTATAGTAAATCACTTCTTTTCTTCACCTTAAAAGTAACATTTATATATTAATGAATCTAAGTCACTTCACGCACGCAACGTGGTTCAAATTCAGCAATTAGTATATTATATAATTATATAATAGTAACCGCAGATAATACAAGACGAAAATTCCTTTTCAGACATCAAGATAGTTATAGCTTACACGTCTACAATAGGTCCACTACGGGCTCACCATAGCCCGTGCTACTGGGAACTTTTTGTTCCAGGTAGCGAATCTTAAAGAACAGTCAACAATAAACTTAGGAATTACATACTGCTAAGGTTCACCACATCAGTCACAGGGATACCGTGATCAAGGCGATCTTTAATACTTTATGAAAAATATTTACCAAACCAAATTGTCGGCAAGTCATCCGATAGTTCATTAATGTCATTCACCCATCTTTGTCTCCAAAGACGTTCTTACATATTTCACCGAATTTCATTCTTAGTCAAGCCGATATTTCTGATCAAGTAAGATTTGACGGCGATATTCTTAGACCGGGGGAAAAAAAAGCAGCAGATATGTGCATAGGATTTAGTCTGCTTGTCAACGGGCCAGAAGTTAAACCCCCAGCAAAAATTTAATTTAAATAATACCCTTCAGCAGAAGGAACATTAGCTTACTAGTCATGTTACTGCGGCTGAATCTCTTAAAACCCACGTCACTTACAGGTGCGGAAGCTCACTAATCAAATATAGTCATTAGCGTAACAATTACAGTGAAGCGCCAGAACAACCTCAGTGGGTAACCATGTTACAATAAACTAGAGGACAGGTCGTAAACACCGGATGACCCACGTTGTGAGCACCCAACACCAACTTACTTCTGCTATACGAGAAGGCCTTTAAGGAGGAGGCCAACTGTTGACGGAGAACTCGTCCACAACTATACATGTCCACCAACCAGTAACGCGAGCCTCGAACTGCGCCCGGTGTCGGCCCACATGTCCTCAGGTCAGTTTGTCCAACTGGCGGTCGTCACTTAAGACACTTAAATTAAAAACAATAACTATTGTTTGTTCTCATATAAAATTAGTATCATTATATATAAAATTTCAACGTATAGTTAGGCGTAGACTAGGTTAGGTTGGGTTCTCTTGGCGGTTATTTGTAGTTACAGTACATCGATGAACCATTTAACAAATTGCAATTCGAACAGAGATCGTCAGCTGAGCAATGTTCGAACGTCATCAGTTGAGTCGTGTCTAACCGTTTTCATTCATAAACAGGGGGTTTGGCGGCTATATTAACGAGCATTTGCCCTTTGTTGCAGCACATCCTCATAAACAAAGGGCAAAGTTGATTCCATGCACCCGCCTAACCCCTGTTTATGAATAAAAAACGGTTTATACACGACTCACAACTCAACCCGTCCTCGACTCAAGTCCATTACATTCAGCGGTCGACCCCACAGACGCATTCATCAATTTTAACATGCTGTTCATTCAAAATGGGAATTTTCTCAAGTATAAATTAATATTATAATATATTAGCATATTGTGTATATATAGGCATAGGATAGGTTAGGTTAGGTGTTTAGGTTCTGTTGGCGATTATTTGTATTTGTAGTACGTGGGTGAAGCATTTATAGCAACCCGTCCTCGACTCACAACTGATGACGTCCGAACACTTCTAAAATAAGTGCTTCGCTGACGACTTTTGTTCGAACCACAACGCTGTAAATGCTACACCCACGTACTACAAATACAATAATCCGCAACAGAACCTAAACACCTAACCTAACCAATGATAAATATGCACATTATGCTAATAAATAATAATTATAATTTATATTTGAGAACATTCCTTTATCGAATAAACAGCATGTTTATGCGAATTAATGTCAATTGATGAATGCGTCTTTGGGATCAACCGTTGGATGGAATGGACTTGGTCTGAGAACGGGTTGCAGCATGACGACGACGGTAATGATACCAATATGCCCTCTTGCAATTCCCTGACCGTATAGCACTTGACGTTATTCTGTTGGGTTATGTGTGGAATTAATAACTGCATGACGCTTCATGATGCTTCATGCGGTTGGTACACGAACAAGGGGACACAGGTGGAAACTGAGTACCCAAATGAGCCACAGACACATTAGAAAAGAACTTTTTCACAGTCGTCAGTAAATGGAATGCAATAGGAAGTGATGTGGTGGAGGCTGACTATACAGTTTCATATGTACATATGATAGAACTCGAGAAGCTCAGGAATCTGTACACCAGTAGATTGACGGGTGAGAGGCGGGACCAAAGAGGCAAAAGCCCAACACCCGCAAACACAACTAGGCAAGCACACACACACACACACACACACACACACACACACACACACACACACACACACACACACACACACACACACACACACACACACACACACACACACACACACACACACTACTGATACCCGAGGAGAAGTGTTCCAAGAGGGCTAGCAGACTTCTTCAATAGTACTTGAAGACTCTCAGCTTGTTCCCTCTCTTTAACCGATTTCTGATTGTCCAGGAACAACACTGGAGCACCAGTAGAGCAGGAGCTAGTCCACACACACATTGTCCAGGAACAACACTGGAGCACCACACACAATACATTGTCCAGGAACAACACTGGAGCACCAGTAGAGCAGGAGCTAGTCCACCGGGGCCACAATACATTGTCCAGGAACAACACTGGAGCACCAGTAGAGCAGGAGCTAGTCCACCGGGCCACAATACATTGTCCAGGAACAACACTGGAGCACCAGTAGAGCAGGGGCTAGTCCACCGGGCCACAATCAATTGTCCAGGAACAACTCTGGAGCACCAGTAGAGCAGGGGCTCTTCCACCGGATTTCATACATTGTCCAGGAACAACACTGGAGCACCAGTAGAGCAGGAGCTAGTCCACCGGGCCACAATACATTGTCCAGGAACAACACTGGAGCACCAGTAGAGCAGGAGCTAGTCCACCGGGCCACAATACATTGTCCAGGAACAACACTGGAGCACCAGTAGAGCAGGGGCTAGTCCACCGGGGCCACAATACATTGTCCAGGAACAACACTGGAGCACCAGTAGAGCAGGGGCTAGTCCACCACTGGAGCACCAGTAGAGCAGGAGCTAGTCCACCGGGGGGCCACAATACATTGTCCAGGAACAACACTGGAGCACCAGTAGAGCAGGGAGCTAGTCCACCGGGGCCACAATACATTGTCCAGGAACAACACCTGGAGCACCAGTAGAGCAGGAGCTAGTCCACCGGGGCCACAATACATTGTCCAGGAACAACACTGGAGCACCAGTAGAGCAGGAGCTAGTCCACCGGGTTCCAGGAACAACACTGGAGCACCAGTAGAGCAGGAGCTAGTCCACCGGCTGGTCCGGCGTTCGATCCCGGGCTTGGTGAGACGTTTGCCAACGTTGTACTTATAATATGAGCGGATGCCTCTGTCCATCAGGCCTTGGTGGATAGATACGTGATGGTGAGCTAACTCATGTGAGCTGCGTTCTGGGGACGATGAGCCACTGACAATGGCCACCTTGGTACGCCAGACGGGCTTCCTATCCCACACAACACCAAATACCAAAGGGACACAATGTTAGAACATGAGCACGAGGGATATTAAAGACTAACGTTTGTAAGAGGCGAGGCAACGTTTGTTTACATACAGAGACTCAGTCACGTGTGTGTGAATACCATGATAACACTTTCCTGGGAGTGACCAGCTGCCTCTTGTGGGTCAATAGTAGCTGCCTCTTGTGGGTCAATAGTAGCTGCCTCTTGTGGGTCAATAGTAGCTGCCTCTTGTGGGTCAATAGTGGCTGTCTCGTGTGGGTCAATAGTGGCTGTCTCGTGTGGGTCAATAGTAGCTGCCTCTTGTGGGTCAATAGTAGCTGCCTCTTGTGGGTCAATAGTAGCTGCCTCTTGTGGGTCAATAGTAGCTGCCTCTTGTGGGTCAATAGTGGCTGTCTCGTGTGGGTCAATAGTAGCTGCCTCTTGTGGGTCAATAGTAGCTGCCTCGTGTGGGTCAATAGTAGCTGCCTAGTGTGGGTCAATAGTAGCTGCCTCTTGTGGGTTAATAGTAGCTGCCTCTTGTGGGTCAATAGTAGCTGCCTCGTGTGGGTCAATAGTAACTGCCTCGTGTGGGTCAATAGTAACTGCCTCGTGTGGGTCAATAGTAGCTGCCTCTTGTGGGTCAATAGTAGCTGCCTCGTGTGGGTCAATAGTAGCTGCCTCTTGTGGGTCAATAGTAGCTGCCTCTTGTGGGTCAATAGTAGCTGCCTCTTGTGGGTCAATAGTAGCTGCCTCTTGTGGGTCAATAGTAGCTGCCTCTTGTGGGTCAATAGTAGCTGCCTCGTGTGGGTCAATAGTAGCTGCCTAGTGTGGGTCAATAGTAGCTGCCTCTTGTGGGTTAATAGTAGCTGCCTCTTGTGGGTGAATAGTAGATGCCTCGTGTGAGTCAATAGTAGCTGCTTCGTGTGGGTCAATAGTAGCTGCCTCGTGTTGGTCAATAGTAGCTGCTTCGTGTGGGTCAATAGTAGCTGCCACGTGTGGGTCAATAGTAACTGCCTCGTGTGGGTCACTAGTAGCTACCTCGTGTGGGTCAATAGTAGCTGCCACGTGTGGGTCAATAGTAGCTGCCTCTTGTGGGTCAATAGTAGCTGTCTCGTGTGGGTCAATACTAGCTGCCTCGTGTGGGTCAATAGTAGCTGCCTCGTGTGGGTCAATAGTAGCTGCCTCTTGTGGGTCAATAGTAGCTGCCTCGTGTGGGTCAATACTAGCTGCCTCGTGTTGGTCAATAGTATCTGCCTCGTGTCGATCAATAGTAGCTGCCTCTTGTGGGTCAATAGTAGCTGTCTCGTGTGGGTCAATACTAGCTGCCTCGTGTGGGTCAATAGTAGCTGCCTCGTGTCGATCAATAGTAGCACCCTCTTGTGGGTCAATAGTAGCTGTCTCGTGTGGGTCAATACTAGCTCCCTCTTGTGGGTCAATAGTAGCTGTCTCGTGTGGGTCAATATTAGCTCCCTCTTGTGGGTCAATAGTAGCTGCCTCATGTGGGTCAATAATGGCTGCCTCATGTGGGAAATGAATGGATGTCGAGGGCACTTGGTGTCAATTGCCGGCTGGAAAGATATTGCAAATCAAATGCAATATCTTTCATAGACAACTGGGAACACTTCTATGGAGGAAATGAAATGTATGCTCGTGATGGGGTGCATCTATCGAGGGCTGGGGTTGTTTCTGTTGCGAACTCGTTGGAACCAGTGGTTAGAGGTGTTTGTTTGGGTTTAAACTGTTAGTAGATAGTGGTATGGGAATTGATTTGGAGGAAGGAGGTAATAAAAGTATGTGTTCGTGGGAGAATAGAATTGGCAAAATGATCAGAGAAAGAAAAGGGCCTCAAAATAACAATTCACTTAGGGTATATTACACTAACAGAAGAAGTCTAAGAAATAAAATTAACAAATTAAATGCTCTTGTCTGCACAGAAAAAATAGATATTATTGCACTTACCGAAACGTGGATGAATGTAGAAAATAGAGAACTATTAGCTGAATATCAAATAAATGGATTTAAACTATTTCACACAGATAGATATATTAGACGAGGAGGTGGAGTAGCCATATATGTTAGGGACAATTTGAAATGTAGTCTCAAAGAGGGAATCAAAACTGAGTCACACACAGAAACTATTTGGATAGAATTAAACGAAAAAGCAAATAATATTATATTAGGAGTTATATATAGGCCACCAAATTTAGACAGAATGGAAGCAAAGCATCTATGGGATGAAATATCTAGAGCATCTAGATCTAACAGTATTTATGTCATGGGTGACTTTAATTTTAGTGGAATAAACTGGGTGAACAAAACAGGGAATAGTGAAGCAGAAGATTTTCTAGAATTAATTGGCGATTGCTTTCTTACGCAACACATTAAGGAACCAACGCGGGAAAATAATATTTTAGATTTAGTGTTAACTAACAGGGAAACA